GCCGTATCTAGACCCACAGCTAGTTTGTGATTGTCCCTCTTGTGTTGTGGCGTGGAATAACATCAAAATTGGGCATAAATCAAAATATCTGCGACAAGCTCACTGCGACACACTGCTGCGAGAGGGTAACCAGCCCTAAGGAGCCCAGTGGCCTCTACAATTCTTAAATGGAAGAAGTTTTGGACGACCAGAGCTCTACCTAGACCTGGCCGTCCAGTCAAACTGAGCAATTCTGGGAGAAGAGCCTTGGAGAAAGAGGTAAAGAAGAACCAGAAGACCCCTGTGACTGAGCTCCAGAGACGCAGTAGGGAGATTGAAGAAAGTTTCACAAACTCAACTATCACTGCAGCCCTCAACCATTCGGGGCTTTATGGCAGTGTGGCCCAACGGAACTCCTCAGTGCAAGAAATATGAAAACCCTGCATAGATTTTGCCAAAAAACACATTAATAACTATGAGAAAGAAGATTCTCTGGTCTGATGAGACCAAGATTGAACTTTTTGGCATTCATTTTAAGCGGTATGTGTGGAGAAAACCAGGCACTGCTCATCACCGGCCCAATAGAATCCCAACAGTCAAATAAGGTAGTGGCAGCATCATGCGTTTTTCAGCTTCAGGGATAGGAGGACTGTTTGTAATTGGAGGAAAGATGAATGCGGCTAAGTACAGAGATATCAGGACCTCAGACTGGGCCAAATGTTCACCTTCCAACAAAACAATGACCCTAAGCACACAGCTAAGATCACAAAGGAGTGGTTTGGGAACGACTCTGTGACCATTCTTGACTGGCCCAGCCAGACCCCTGACCTAAACCCAATTGAGCATCTGTGGAGAGACCTAAAAATGGCTGTCCACCAACGTTCACCATCCAACCTGTCATAACTGGACAGGATCTGCAAGGCAGAATGGTAGAGGATCCCCAAATCCTGGTGTGAAAAACTTACATCATCATAATACATTTGCAAAAAATTCTTCAGTTTTGTTTCTTTCTCTCAAGATGGGCTGAGTGTAAACTAATGGGAAATAAAATGAACTTCATTGATTTTAGCAAATGGTTGCATTGAAACAAAGAGTGAACAATTTAAAGGGGTCTGAATACTTTCCATACCCACTGTTTGCTGTAAACTGCAAGCATGTCTGTCCATGTTATTGACTACAATGCTGACTTTAATAAAGGGGAAAAAAATCAGATTTTTTCATTTTCTAATGGAGTTTGGACCTGGGCAAAATTATTTTGTCAGACTATGACTATTTTCTTACACAAATGAGTGAAAATGCTGTGACTTGTGTTGTGGAATAAACACAATGCAAATATGCTCAGTTGGGACAAATAAACCATGAAGAAGACAGTGATTCATACCTGTATGAAAGTTAGAGTTGCTTTCTGCAGAAGGCACTCGGCATAGCAGAGCTCTGCATGCATTTCCTCTGAAAACACAAAGATAGTCGATGTATCATGTTGCACTTCTCTTGTGAGTTCTACCACCCAGCTAAAACCAGTAAGGTCTACATACCTTCCTGCAAGTTGGACTGTTTGCTGATCAGACTGGACAGAGAACCGACCATCGAGTTTCTCTTCCTGAATCTGTAAATACAGTTTATTGAGATTTTAATCTTTGATTCGGTCTGAGGACCTCTGGGGGATTTATTCAAGCTGGAAGCTGGTTGTCAGGGAAGAAAAGGACACTAAAACGCTATATTAAAAGGTACACTTTGATCGAAAGATTATCCGAAAAAGTTTCAGTAAATCAATAGTGACGCAAAGAACTGAGGTTCATCAATACAGCAAAGTCGTCATCTACTTCTAAAACTAGACCTGATCAATAATCTATATACCTTAATTGGTTTCCAATTCGGATGAACTGATTATCTATGCACCCATAAAACAGAAGAATCATGGCATTAAACTCTCACCTGTGACATGTCTGCAACGCCTGCTTGATGGTTTCCATGGCAGTCTGGATGTCCTTTTGCTCAAAAGTCATGGTGGCCTGCATCACCAGGATGCTGCTGTAACTGAGGGCATGGTACATACTGTGCTTCCACCTGCACACAGCTCAGTTCAGTTACAAACACGTCGTAACCAGTCAAAACCATAAGGAAATGGTTTGGAACACTTTTAGCCAAAACCGGCAGAAAGGGTCGAGAAAGAAAGGACACCAGGAAGGAGAGAAGGAAGACGAGGAATGAGAGAGGAAAGGACAAAAGGAAACAAGGAAGGAGGAGATATGGGAAGAGGGGTGAAGGATAAAAGTTAAAGAGGTAGGACGGATCGGGGAAGAAAAATGTTAATATAGGCAGGAAGGAAAGAAAGAAAAGGAATTTCAGAAAGGAAGGAGAGAAAATAAGATACGGCAAAGGGGAGGAGGATGGAGACTGAGGTACGATGTAAGGTAGAGATAACACAGAGGTGAAGAGATGGTGAAAAGGGAAACACAAAGGAAAGAAAAATAGAGGACAGGTGCAACAAACACTAAAGAAAAAGAACATGAACTGAAAGCCCAGAATAAAGAAAGAAGGAAAAGATTAAATTACATAAGACAGTTGGCATATTGATGGAGGGTGTGGAAGCATATTTTTCCTTGGCCTATTTGTGAGATAAAATATTTTGAGTGTGCCTTTTATCTGCCTTAATAGGGGTGATTGTTAAGAAGTTTTGTAACAGTCTAAATGCTGGAGTTAAGTTATGGAGTTAAGTGTAGGGAGGACAGAAAGCAGCTGCCTCCCTACTCTTGACAAGGGTGAAGGGAGGGTCATGAGAGATAAGAATGAGTTCACAAAGCCTCCTTCATGTCGTGAATGGGAGACCTGTTCTGAGAGTTTATCTGGCTCAAATTTATGACCTTGATGAATTGGGTTGTTTCTTAAGAATAACCAAATGTTCTTGTGTGAGAAAATTCTTTATGTAAGGGCTGGGATAGTTCCAAGGGATAATATGTTTATTGGGAGTTGCTGTACAAATGTATGTACTGAGCTTTGCCCAGTCAGAGGTCTATTCCTCCATCTGGGGATGTTACATAAATTTGAACCTTCTCTTGCAAGAGTCTCAGCTTCCTTCTCAACTCCACAAGGGTCAAAAAATGAAAATATGGTGCAAAAGGACAAGAAAGGAAGAAAGACAAATGACTCAATTAATGAGGGAAATAAGGAAACAATGAAGGCAGTAAATAGAAGAGAAACAGCAAATTTAAACAGTGGGGTATAGGAAATATTAAACGTCATCATATTAAATGATGGAAGGTGTTCTTCCAGTTAAATTTCAAAACCTCTTCAATATGAAGAGATTAAAATAATGTAAGATACCTTATTTTTAGCCAAAATAAATGAAATGTACATTTGAAAACTACTCAGAATATTCTCTAGAAACCCTCAACATCAAGAAATGTTTGATGATCGGAAACATTCAAAGGAGAAAAAATAAAATAAAATAAAGAAAAAACATGGAGGATAACAGTGCTTACCATGGCTTAAGCAGGTCAAGTGCCTGAGAGAATTTGTTGTTGAGGACCAAGTTTAGGGCACACTGAGTCTCTTGGATGGCAGTCTGCAGGTCCATCTGACAGGTCCTGAACGCACAAAGACAAATCAATCAGAGAGCATGAGAAGAGTCAGTTAATGATGGAGAAACTCAGGACATGGTTTTATAGGGCTGGACATTTACTGCATCGTTTGACATCGTTCATGACTAGTGTTGCACCGATACCGATACCAGTATCGGGCGGGGCCCCGATCCTGCACTAAAATGGTGGTATCGGTATCAGCGAGTACCAACAAATAGGGCACCGATACCATTCTGAGAGCAATAAGTTTCTTCAACTATTGTCACCCATTCCAGGTAGGCAATTAAAGGTTCTACTGGATTCACTTTGTATTAGTCTTTTTCCTGCTTCACAAAGGTAGGCAGCAGGTTGATAAATCCATGATGGGAATTGTTTTACATCCAAGTAGTTTGCAGTTCTTCATTTATACACACATCAATTTCAAATAGATGGTATCGGTATGGGCCGATACTGCACAGCCAGGTATCGGGTACTGGTACGGGGCCAAAAAATGGCATCAGCGCAAGACTAGTCATGAAACCAATTTACAATGCATTATAATTAGCGATGACAAATTTTTATTTATTTTTTTAATGGGAATTTTACTTTTAATATTTTTCTTCTTCTGTCATTCTTTCCATTGGAGCATAAAAAATTCAAATATGATTAAATGCAGTTACAATGTTAAAAAAAAAAATTTTTCTTATGTAACTAAAACTAAAGAATTTATGTTAAATTTATAGATTATTTTAAGAGTAGTGAAAGACTTTAAAGAATTAAGGAACCGTGTTTTTATGGTCAATTTTATGGTTGTCAGGACAATATCACAACATATTGTGATAAAACTATAAGGTCATACTCATCAGCCTTATTGTTTTTGAATAGAAGAATCGAAATGACCAAAACTAACTGCTGCTAGAAGGAAGGATGTGCGATAATGCTCATTAGTGCACCTAAGATGCAGCAGTCACTGAAAGAGGTCTCTGATTCTGGAACAGGCTAATGCCTGAGGTGGGGGATGTTTTATAAGTCTGTGCAAAATACAGATGAAATACACAATACAAATACACAATTATTTTCACAATTTACCAAATGTGAGAAACATTGTGATGTTATAAGTTCCCTGTTTTCTTTTTGCAATTGTGCATTAGACTGTTTTCTTTTTGCAGTTGTGACTTAGACTGCAGTATGAATGCACCTACATTTAATTTTAAATTATAGGTTTAAATACAAAAAAGTATGAAAATGTAGTTTTCTAAATGAGGCTGCAGGATAAATACTTCTAACAACATATTAAAAGCAATAATTAACAAATACTGGCCAATTAACACAGGAAGTAATAAAAAAAAAGATGCATTTAAAAAAGAAACAGGAGGCTGACGAGAAATGCAAACAACAAAACATTTACCAATTAGTTCCCACAATACTTTGCTAGCATGGGTGTACTTACGAAGGTATCCGATCGAAAGCATCCTCAAAACAGTCCTGAAACAGAGAGACAGAGAGGGGTGAACCAGTTGCCCTTCTTCACTGTGTGTGTGTAGTTTCAAGCCATGCCAGGGGATGTGGGGGCATAGATTGCATCTATGACTGAAGGCTAAATTTGACTTTTGAAAATCCAATACCAAAATGTCCAGAAGATGGCAAAAGTGCATCTTATATAAGCATGTGCCCACACCCTGCAGCTCTGTTTTCTCTATTGTACTTCTATCCAAACACAAAGTTTCATTTACTTATTTTTTGACTTTTTACACATCTTTACGGGGTTTCCATGTAGAACTTCAGCACTGTACCACAATCTATCTGGCGACTTCAAAAAGAAACGAGAGGAGGAGACACACGCTTTCCTAACACCCGCCCCCTTCTTCTTCTAATTGGCTAATATTGGTAGGAATAATTTGATCCCTTGAGGGTGTTCTGTCAGATGAGCATACCCCGTCAGACCAGCTTACCAATAGTCAATACTCGTTTATCCCTTTAGTTTATCCCTTTAGTTTTGTGGGAAAAATAGACTTTAAACTACCTAAATGGGTGTGTTCCCTTTTAGTTATGTACAAAAACCTTATTAATTAATTTTTGGTGTTTTTTTTAAAGAGTATGGCGATCTGATCTGTTTTATGTACATGACTAAAGGGATACACACACATCAAGGTAGTTTAAGGTCTATTTTTCGTACAAAACTAAAGGGATAAACGCAAATCGGATGTTTTACGCATGTGTATTGACTATGGGTATGCTGGTCTGATGAGGTATGATGATCTGACAGAACGTCGGCTTCTTTGAAGTAGGAGCTCGCAAACAAAGTCCTCAAAGTTAACTGGAGTCCCAACTTTCACTATTCTTCAGTATTAGGGTTTTACTTCTGGTGAAGAAGCTCTTTCCCCATAATAATTTTCTTTTTTGATTTTTGATCTTTAATATTTACAGTCATTTTAAGATTACCAATATTAGATTTTTATTAAGCGTAGTAGTGGGCCTTACATGAGTAAATCACACGCAGCGTTTCTTCTGAGCCTCAGTTACAGGCTAATAATAGCTGACCAGTGGCTTCTTATATAATCACATCCAGCTGCAGCCACAGTGAGCTTTATCCAGAGGATCATTGCCTGCAGGCTGCAGCTATCGAGCCTCTGAAGGTCCGGACCTCAGCTGAGCTGCACAAGCGGGCTCAGATTTCGGCCGTGCAACGAAGGACAAAAAGGAAATCTAAAACTGCACACTGTGTATAAACAGTGTGCATCAGATCAAACTGTGGTGGGATTTTGAAATGATGTAAGCAGCTAAAACAGTAACGTTATGGGTGCTCGAAACAGGAGTTTGGACAACCAAGTTCAAAGGTCTGCTTCATAAAATGTAGAAAATCAGCCACTGTATGGGTAAAATATATCAAATCAATTACTCAAGGTTTTTTTGAGGAACCAAAAGAAGAAATGAGCTAAAATGATGATAATCTATATAAGAGCAATGATTAACATCTAGAACACTGGCCAAAAATGAAAAAAAGGTAATCAAGCAAAAACCAAAAAGACTTTTCTAAATAAAATAGGAATTTCTTTCACATTAATTTATATCACTTGGAGAAGCAGAATGGCCACTGATTAAGACAAAAGTACACAAACTGTTCACAACCTCAAAAATATTTTAAATGCGGTACATAAATAATATCACAAAAAAAAATGTAAATAAATACACCAAATACTTTTTGTTTCGTGGGAAAAACGTCATGTTTTAGGAGCAAAGAGAATCAAACACAATATCAACCAGTTAACCAGTAAAACAGATCTAAAAAAAAACACTTCCTGGAAAATTTATGCAAATTCAGAGTTTGAATCCAAACAGAAAAGGTCAGCTTCTTATTTAAGAGACACAACACTTTCCCTTGCTGGAAATCAGACCCTCTGTCTGGTGGTGTGTCACTGTTAGTGGCATTCTTCATACAAAGATTATATGCCCTGCTGAGTGGCTCTAAATACGACCACAGCCCAAATGGCCTAAAACGGGAGTAGCAGACCTAACGAGGTGGAGGAAGGG